AAGATATATATATATATATATAAATAAAATAAAAATGGACTGTCCACATACTTTTGGTCACATAGTGTATAAAAGGGTGAACTTCAGTGGACCATTTTTAGTTCCAGAGCAACTTTGAAATACGGTCTCCCAGCAACAGGACAAAACTTAATAAAGCCCAAGGACAAATACTTTCTCTTTGAACCTGGCCCACCTCCACCACACTCTTCAGCTGTGCAATGCTTTTATGGGCTGCTTTTGCAGAGAGGCTATAAAAATCTGTGCAGTTCATTTTGTAGGAGAGTAGTGAAAGGAGAAAATATGATGCGATGCACTGATCTTCTGCAATCCTTCATCAGCTTTGACATTGGTTTTGCAAGGTGGAAGCAATGCTAATGACTCTCTGCCTCTGCCAAAGAGAACAGTCCTGTGTTCACTTTCTATAGGAACAACAGTGGCTTGGCTACATTTTGGATCTCAATCTTCTCCGGACCGGTGCCAAGTCTCATTCCATTGCATGGTGCCAAGTGTGCATGTGATGACATTTAAAAGAGAAGAAAAAAAGGACAGGGAAGAGGGTGAAAGAGTTCTTGCTGGTGTAGCTATTGTGTGTATGTGTCTCTCCTTCATAAAATGCATCCAGGCAGACCATCATGTAAATAAACTTTGCATTACATACTCAAATCTGGAAGGCTTCCTTAACACATGTTTGTAATATTCAACATGAGGCAAATAAAACAAACAAAACACAATGTCTGCATATTCACAGACATAATTCAGAGCAGCATAATGTCATTCATAGTTTCTGTTCTGTGTGGCTAATAACTCATATGACTCACCAGGTAGCTGCCTCTCTGTGATGCTGAGAGCTTCCACAGGCTGCTGCAGGGTGGGGAAGGGCACAGGAGGATCCATAGGCACTTGGTGTCTGATGGTGGGCTTGCTCTGGCCGTGACCGTCTGTCTGGCTGTGTCCATTAGGAGGTTTGGGCTTGTAAATGTACGGTGTGGTGACATGGTAACCCATTCCTCCAGGACAGATGTCTTTAAACACAGCTATGAGAGAAAGAAAAAATGCTCAACAACAATCTATCTATCTATCTATCTATCTATCTATCTATCCTTATATCTGACGGTCTGTTATGATTTAATTGATTGAAATTGAATTATTTTAAATGAACAAATACACTATATAAAAGACAATATATCAATCAATCAATCAATCTATCTATCTATCTATCTATCTATCTATCTATCTATCTACTTATCCTTATATCTGACGGTCTGTTATGATTTAATTGATTCAAATTGAATTATTTTAAATGAACAAATACACTATATAAAAGACAATCAATCAATCAATCAATCAATCTATCTATCTATCTATCTATCTATCTATCTATCTAGTTTGTTTCCATCCATCTGTCCATTTATTTGATGGTCTGTTTAAATGTCATTGATTAAAAATGTCATTAATTTAAATGAACAAAGACTTCTTCTTCAAACAAAGCAACCCTAACAAAGAACAAAAAACTCACAGGAAGGCCAATACAAAGGTAAGTGTATATGAAAACGCAAAAATCTACAGCAGAACTAACAAAAACCGAGTGATGGCATGTAAAAGCATCTACATAGCAGAGCTGTGGAACACACATGCAAACCACAATGAAGTGGAGGAAAGAGAGGGAATGATACCAGTAGAACAGGTGGGGCCGACAGGTGTGTCTCAGGTAGCTTACCTGTTCCAGGTAGGGGGCAGCGATCACAATGAGGACCCCAGGCCTTCCCCACACTACAACAGCATAACTGTTTACTCAGCTGAGTGGACACAGGGTGCAAGCACTGCTTCCCCGAACTGACCAATCGGAAGCAAGCACCTTTCTCCTCGCGAAGAGCAGGTGTTTCGGCTGGTTACCGTGGAGACGGAAGGAGGGAGGGAGGGGAGGAGTGTGCACGGTGTATGACACAAACATGGAAGAGAGAGAAAGAACAACAGAATAGAAAAGAGATTCCCTTCACCTCGTGTTCCATCTATGCATGACTACAATGCCATAACAAAAGAACAACTGCCTCTATAACCACATTAAAACAGAGAGCGTGTATAAAAAAACGTGATATTGTTTTTCAGACGCAAGATAGACAAGAATACGGGACAAGAATACAACTACCAAAGTGCAAAGAGGTCAGTTAAGCAGAAAGCATGTGAGAAAGGTTATATACAAGGGTTAATACATCAGGAAGCACTTGTTTTCAGACATCATAAGTACATATATGTATATGTATAAAAAAAGACTGTATCAGAAGTTTTATTTATTAAAAAGATTTCTGAAGAATGTAACACTTTGGACTGGAGTAAAGGCTGCTGAAAAATGAGCTTTTCCATCATAGAAATAAATTACAATTTAAGATATTAAATTGTAATTTATATTAATATTAAAAGTTATTTAAAATAGTCAATTATACGATATTACTGTTTCACCATATTTCTGATCAAATATAGTAAATGCATCTTGTATATGTTTTTATATGTTTAATTATTAGTGAATGAGAATGAAAATTATTAGTGAATGTTAAATCATTAAAATACAGTAATGCACTCACTTTTTTGACACTTCATGTCATGTAACATAAAATAAACCAATGCCCTCAGGTAAATGTGTTGATATATAAAAGAATTGTTGATGTGTGTACTGCTTTCTCACATATGCATTTTTCACTTTAATAAAGCGCCAAATCTGAGTTTTTTTATAGAGATGTACAATTCAACATTTTCATATTGCAGATAACAGCAGATTTGTGTTGACAGACCTTATACTGTCAGCCCAAACACACTGTATACATGAGCAAAAAAACTGAAGGCTAAAAGGAGGATTAAAAGAACTCTCTGATCTTCTCTGAACAAAAGGACATGACGGTGTGTTCCAGAGGTGTAATTTGGCAAGCACCAGCTTCCAGGAGAAGGATCAGCCTCAATATTTTTCACAATAACACAGACAGCACACTTAGGTTACCTTATTAAATCACAGAGAAAGCTTGAGCATATTTGTGCCCCATTGACCGACTGCACGAATGATGCCAGCACATTTCAACCTCGCTGTTATGTTCATGCCTGTACAGCAGAGAGAGAACCCTTTGCTCATGTGACAGCCACAGTTAATGTTAGAAGCCATGTTATATCATGCTGCTAGCTTGACTAATCGGCAAGTCTTACTGCTACAAGCTGAAGTGATTAGCTGCACTGAATCCATTTACATTTGTAGATTTCTTTGAGTAGGTAAACATGGAGACAGCAGGGACATGCCAAAGACATCAGTCAGCCAGTTAAGCTGGAGAAGAGAAGAGAAGAGAAGAGAAGAGAAGAGAAGAGAAGAGAAGAGAAGAGAAGAGAAGAGAAGAGAAGAGAAGAGAAGAGAAGAGAAGAGAAGAGAAGAGAAGAGAGACTTACGGAAGCAGGTGGTCAGGGTGGGGTCAGGCACAAAGCCTGGGTTGCAGATACACCTGTAGCTGCCCATGGTGTTTATGCAGTTTCCATTGGGACAAACTCCTTGAATATGGCACTCATCAATATCTGAGGGTGATAACAGACATTAGGAACTTTCATATTTTTTTCTGTGGAACACAAAATAGATATTTTGAAGAATGTTTCAAGTGAAAACAGGAATTTTTTTTGTCCACTGAGAGTCAAAACTGCATTGACCTTCATTATAGACAAAAAACAATTAAGCATTTCTCAATCTTATTTTGTGTTCCGTAGAAGAAAGACTGTCATACAGGTTTGTAAAACACAAGGGTGATGACAGTGTTACATGGATTGTACAAGAAAAAAGGCTTTAGATGCACACACATTGCATATTTTCTTCTTGTTTTCCAGTATCAAAATCTAAAAATCCTTAAAATACTCCAAAGATGAAATTACTTGTGAAGAAAAATAGTGAAAATAAGAAAAGACGCCTTTGGATTTCATCTTGAATTAAATGTATTTTTCTAACCACACAGTTTTTTTTTCTTGTTTTAAAGGGGTCATATGATGCGATTTCAAGTTTTCCTTTCTCTTTGGAGTGTTACAAGCTGTTCGTGAATAGATCAGATCCCTAAAGTTGCAAAGACTAAAGTCTCAAACCCAAAGAGATATTCTTTATAAAAGTTAAGATTCGTCCACGCCCTCCTAAAACGCCTCGTTTAAACACGCCCCCACATGTCTACATCACTGTGTGGGAAGATTTGCATAACACCGGCCAAATGTTCACGCAAAGAAAGAAGGCGTAACTTTGATTCTGGCTGTAGTATTGTTACCGCTGCCGCCATGTCATGGAGACGCTGTGTTTCCTTCTGAAAGCGAAACTACTTTGTTTGGCCGTCCAAAAGAGGTCACAACTAGAAATCAGTGGTTAAGTTGTATTTACAACACTGTTCCAGAACAGTTCAAACAAAATATTCAGATGTGTGCAGCGCATTTTACAGAGGACGAGGTCTTGATCCTGGGAGAGTAGCCTACAATGCCGGTGTTCCGGTGAATTCAGTTCCCGTTTCCTCTTCGGCGCGCATGCTGACCTCAGTCTATGATGCTAACAAATAATGCTGACTCACAGCCTATAAGTAAGTTTTCATATTTAAAAGATTTGCCACTAATGATTCAAATGCGAGTTTTGAGCAGTGTAGAGCAGTGCTAGTTGTTTGTCGTTTCTCCGATCACAAATGCAGACATGGTTTTATGTTTACGCGGCGCGATGCAACGCAACACGTAAAAAGACAGTATAAGTCATTATGTCCCCACTGGATGCAACAAATGCCTAGTTTTATAATGGGTTTTCATGTTCTTGAATCATTGCCCGGCCGGGACACGCCATCACAGTATGGTAAGGGGCGTAACATATCCGTCACACGCTTGAGGTATTCGGCCAATCACAACGCACTGGATAGCTGGCCAATCAGAGCAAACCTTGCTTTTCAGAACGATGAGCTTTGTAAAAATCGACGCGTTTCAGAAAGGCGGAGCATAGAGGAGAAACAATAATGTACAGTATGTGGAAAATAATGTGTTTTTTGAACCTTAAACCGCATAAGCACATTTCATTACACCAAATACACAAAAGAATGTTCTTTTTTAGCAACGTCATATGACCCCTTTAAAGCGTAAATCTAAAAAACTAAATTTTGTTAGATTAATGCTTAAAACAAGAAAAAATATTTGCCAATGGGGCTGGAAAAATAAACCTAATTTCCAGATTCTCTGAAAACAAGTTTTAATATATTATGCAATTTTGCCTCAAGTAAATGTATCTTTTTTTCTTATTTTTTTAAAAGATGTTTCTTTTTTTAAACAAGACAAAAATACTAATATATGAAATTACTTTTTTTCAGATATATGTGCATGCACAGACACAAAGCATGCATTAGATTTTTTTCATAGCTTTATTTGTGCTAATGTAAACCCATATGGTGTGATCCACAATCTCTGTAAGAAACAGTCAGAAAAGGAACACACACACACACACAAACACACACAGCACAGCAGACCACACTAATACCCTTCTAAGAGGCCATTGAGTGCAAGTTAAGGGTGTGGGCAGTCATCATTCCCAGTCACTTAGATTGGGACACAGATCCAAGAGGAGCTGTCACTCAAAGCCATGATATCATCGTGTCTCCATTACACAAGAAAAATCCATGTTTCTATACAAAATACACCTAATGCCCTGCAAATCTGCATGGTGACAGATTCCTAAAGAAGTTTTAAGGGGAAAAGATAATATACAAAATAATTTATACAGAAAAAAGCTACAAATTCTAAGTGAAAATAATAAGAAACAGTTAAAGTATCATGAACAAAAGTTCAATAACTAAAAACTATGGAGACAAGGCTGATTATTCTCTGTCAGACATGTTTATGAAAGCATAAACCTGCCAATGAGGACAGCAACATGACTAATGACAGGAAGAGAGAAGCGGGAGCTTCAGAGCCTGGCAGAACAACCAAACCACAGGAGATACGTGCACTTACGCAGTAAAAGCTCTGGCCTGACGCAGGAAAGTGTCAAAGGTTTAGTGGGACCCTCAGGCCGTGTTATCAGGACAGTGATTAAGTTCAAACTAAACGGCACTCTGATCGCTAAAGAAGTGTTGTAAACTAGGCTCAGAGAACAGCCCATGCTGAAATTTTCATTAAGATATGGAGGTAAAGTAAACCCCTTAGTGCTTTGAGGTCTGTTTATTAAATCTGAGATACATTTTAATCATCAAATCTATCTAGGGTATGTCCTCCTCACGCCTCCTCATGCTAATGCTGTGAAGAAATTAAAGGAGCACTAGACCTACAAAGTTAAATGGTAGGCTACTTTTGAGAAATGTAGTGTTCTGTAGTGATCTTAACATGGCACCCATAATGATCACATGACCAGCAACGCTGCTTTTGCAGACCATAAACAAAAAATAACTTTCAAAACTTTAAAAATGACAACTCCTAACTATATTTGGCTTATTTGATAGTTTACTGGAGACTAAGTAACTTATTATTTTTTTTTTTATGCATTTCTTTTTTGATCAAGTAACAGGGTTTTTTCTTAATTAATTGCACTTAAGTATGTCTCAAAGTTGCCCAGATCTACCAGCCTCCAAACTCCTGTCTCTCCTGACCCAGAGCGCCTGTGGCCAGGACACACGCTGGGCACTTCCCCCTAACACAGCCTGCTTCACTTTTAGCTGCAGTTCAGCTCTGGGTTTGGCAGACTGTGGTGGCTGTTGGTGGCTGCTAACAGCAGATGTGTTTGGCTGGAGGTGTGTGGAGAAATAGAGACAGAAAGACAAATAGGTACCAAAGGATGCAAAGCCTTGATACAGAATAATATGGATACATAGACCACAATGAAAAATACACACACAAAAAAACATACATTGACATTAAAAAGTTTGGGGTCATTACGATTTGTTTTACAGAAATTAATAATTTTATTCAGTAAGGATGCATGAAACTGATCAAAAGTGGCAGTAAAGATATGTATAATGTTATAAAAGATTTCTGTTTCAAATAAATGCTGTTCTTTTAAGCTTTCTATTCATCAAAGAATCCTGAAAAACAAAGCAGCACAACTCTTTTCAACATTGATAATACTAAATCTTTCTTGAGCACATAATCAGCATATTGGAATGATTTCTGAAGGATCATGTGACACTGAAGACTAGAGTAATGGCTGCTGAAAATTTAGCTTTTACATTTCAGAAATAAATTACATTTTAAAATATAATCAAATAAAAAAAGTTATTTTTATTCATGATAATCACTTTTTACTGAAATTTTAATCAAATAAATACACCCTTGGTGACAGTAAGACACTTCTTTCAAGATTTAAAAATCTTACCAACCCCAAACTTTTGAATAGTTGTGAAATTAAGAGATGCTTTAGGAATTTTATAGTTAATAACAGAAATACTGGGCTTGTTATACTGAGCTTTGCATTTAAACAATCTAGGTGCCCCCATCCCACATTTGTCTTTAAAACGAAGTATTATTAGCATGCTAAACTAGAGTTTACATGGCCAAGGCATACACTAACAATACATGACAGCATGAGCTTTACTTTAGTTTGATTCTCAGGCTGAGGAAAAGCCCTTAAGTCTTTCTGGCTGCTGGCCCTGATGTGTTGGATCTCTTGCTATTACATTCAACTTCAACATAGATTAGAAAGATCTATCAAAGATGTCATCTGTCTCTCCACATAACACTGAAAGAAAGTCTTCTCTGTGATAGATCAGGACACTGTTTTAAAATGACAATTTAATAAAAGGAACAGTACATGGTGTATGTCGCCAGTTGTGACATGCAGAGGCCAGTGGGGGGCGAATTGAATTATATAGAGTACGTGACAATGATACATACACTTATGCATCTTATCAAAATCATCACAATCGATGCATAACTACACAAACACGCAAAAAATGTAGAACAACAAACATACACACATCCACTGCAAAAACAAAAAAACAAGATAAACATATATGCATGCATGACAAGCAGATACAAGCAGAAACAAGCCGTGGCTCTTACCGATACAGCGAGTGGCATTCAGCCTCTTATAGCCTAGAGGACATTCAATCAAAGGAATCGCTACGGAGGAAAGAGAGAGAGAGAGAGATAGAGGAGATGGAGGGAAAAAACAGCACATTTAGATACAGCTCTAAAGACAAACATTCTCCTACAGCAAATTTAAGAAAACCTTTGGTGTAGTTAGAAAACGTAAAATCTAGTCTTACCAAAATGTGTAACTAAAATAGCTTTAAGTCCACTGTAACTATTACAATAATTTATTATGATAACCAGCATATGTTCCAAAACACCACAGTTTCTGTGAATCCATAATAATTCATATTTTGTATGAGTTCAAACAGTACATACATACATATAAAAAATAATAAATAAATAAATAACCTACCATTAAATTACCTAAGTTTGGGATGGGTACGATTCTTTTGTTTGTTTGTTTTTCAAAGAAGTCTCTTATGCTCACCAAGGCCTCATTTAATTACAGTAATATTGTGAAATATTACTACAATTTAAAATGGCTGTTTTCTATTTTAATATATTTTAAAATAATAATAATAATTTATTCCTGTGATGGAAAAGCTGAATTTTCAGCAGCCATTAATCATCCTTCAGAAATCATTTAATATGCTGACTTGGTGCTCAAGAAACATTTCTTATTATCATCATTGTTGAACACATTTGTGCATCTTTGTCAGGATTCTTTGATGAATTGAAAGTTTAAAAGAACCATTTAGAAATCGTACAATTTAATGCATCCTTGCTCAGTAAAAGTTTTCATTTCATAACTTCTTTCTTAATTTCTTAAATCAATTCACACAGGAAACTAGCAGGATATAAAGGGGAGCAAATCACTCAGGATTCAGAGTGAGCACTATTCTGCACTAAAACATCCAGAACACATATCATTAATCACTCTATATAGTGTGTTGTTAAACACACCATTGTCTCTGAGCTCATAGATCTATTTCCGTTCAGTGCCAGCTGATGTCCTAGTAAGTGCTCGCCTACAGCTGCTGCGAACAGACCTCAGAGACAGCGGTAATGTCACATCAACTTCACACCTCTCATGGCTATATTGAATCGCTGTGCCTCCAAAACGGAGTAAACATTTACATAAAATGAAAAGAAAAGAAAAAGTGTGAGATGAATAAGGAATAACATTTGAATTGGCATTTGAAGATTGAAACAACAATCCTTAAATATTTTAGACACTCACGAACGTTTGTTTTGGTGATGTCCATAAGGTTTAAATCAGAGTTATGTCTGAGAATGCACAGAATGCAGGGACTCCCATATATGGGCAGAACATTTCAGAAACATCTATGGACATACCGCGAAGAGAAAGAGAGCGAGAGGGGTGGTACGCTAACAGTTTTCTGTAGGGACTTCAGAGAAGTGACTAAGCATAGAGGAATCACGACTGTATGAGTAAATGTGTGTGTGAGGGACCATTACTAAAGCTGGAGTGTGTGCCAGGTGAGTCAGCATGTCAGTAAGTTCAACACGGCGCGTGTAACCAAATACTTTACAGCTTTCTCTTTCATTTGCCCACTCATTACGCACTTGCCTTTTCTCTGTGGAATGCATCCCTTCCCTCTTGTTCTCGCTGTGATATTAGGACCATGTGTCTGTTGAGTCACAGCCACTTGGAGGTTTGACATCAAATGGTTTTCAAAAGAACTCCTCATAGTCTCTTTTAGTTACTGAGGAATCAAGCCTAGGCCTCTTGATGAATCACTGCTTTCCCGCTCTTTTCGGACCACACTACTGTGGAATACTGTGCACAATCATACTGCAAGTGTTTCATCTCAAATGAGGCCCAAACATACTGATGTTTAATGGTGTGTCTCACTCTGAACATACACTAGTTTGTTTCAATCATCCTGGTCTTTCAATTAACAGACTAAAAGTGAAAATTTAAGACATATGCTTGAGTTTGTGTGTGAGGGTGAGACAGATGTTTGTGTGTGGTAAAGTAAAACAGATGTTTGAAAGAAAGAGACAGACGAATGATTGTGTGAGGGTGAGACAGGTGGTTTTACTCATAAAAATGAGGTAGATGATTTTCAACATGAAGAAGAGAGTTGTTTTTGTCTTTGAGGGTGAGACATATTTTTGTTCATGAAAATGAGACAGATGTTTGTCTGTGTAAAAGTGAAGTGGAAAGTATACTTCTGTTGTCCACATTCCGCTTTGGTTCAAGGATGTCCGTGCACAGCCCGATTTTTGTGTGCATACGAAAGTTATTTGACCATTCAAAAATAACGACCCAAAAACATGCAGAACGTGTCTATCCACACTCAGGGTCAATAAAGTATATTTGAAGGGCTCAATTGTGCTAGATTGTCAATCAATTGTGCTAGAAGGAGCAGGAAACAAGAAAAAAGTAGCATACCCGGGCCTCGAGACCAATTTATGTGTGAGGGATGGGTGTTTTTGTTTGTGAAAGCGAGGTAGATGATTGTCTGACTGGCGTCTTTGTTTGTAAAAATAAGGCAGATAATTGTCTGTGTGCCGGACATTTTGTTTGTTAGAGTGAGACAGTAGCTTACATGTTTTCTTGGGGCATTTTTGGCATTTGTGGAATCCCCATGATGTGCCCACCGTCCCACAACAGGCATCTTGTTTAGACAGGCCAGGCAGAGCTTTCCCACACTACAACACAATAAAACACATTCACATCCAGTAAATTAATGAAAGAAATAAAGAATGAGAGAGAAAAAAAGAGAGATACTCATCTAGACCGTTCACAACACACACACACACATAATTCTGCTCACACACAACTCTTGATGCCTGTTCTTTCTGTTCTCTCTGATATCTCTCCCCTGACTGAATCTAATTTGCTGAACCAGGCACGAAACGAACAATTATCTGTGAGACGGCAATGATACACAACTCAAACAACCTGATAACACCTTCCTCTCTGCTGACATAAAAAGACAAAGTCACAAATTATGTCTGAATGGTTGCAAAACAGTCACGGCACTTTACGATTAGAGTAAACAAACAAGACTGAGGTGAACTTAAAAAAATAACTTGATAGACTAACAACTATAGGAGAAGAAGACAACTGGATGTTCTTTTATACTGAAGGCAGGTACTGAGTCAAAATTCTTTTGAGAATCATTCTTTTGTATTTCATCTGCAGTGCTCTTCTTGAGAGACAGATGTTCCCTTGAGCACCACAATGTTCTGGTGGGAGTCTAATCTCACTATTCATTTTGTCTTTTGCTCTACTTCTTGATCATCCAATGATAGCTGAAAATGAGTTAGTTTAAAAGACATTACAAGTGAGAGACAGAGTAATAGTGGATGATTCACAGCTCACAACAATGGTAAGAGAGATTCCCCATGATGTGCCCACCGTCCCACAACAGGCATCTTGTTTAGACAGGCCAGGCAGAGCTTTCCCACACTACAACACAATAAAACACATTCACATCCAGTAAATTAATGAAAGAAATAAAGAATGAGAGAGAAAAAAAGAGAGATACTCATCTAGACCGTTCACAACACACACACACACATAATTCTGCTCACACACAACTCTTGATGCCTGTTCTTTCTGTTCTCTCTGATATCTCTCCCCTGACTGAATCTAATTTGCTGAACCAGGCACGAAACGAACAATTATCTGTGAGACGGCAATGATACACAACTCAAACAACCTGATAACACCTTCCTCTCTGCTGACATAAAAAGACAAAGTCACAAATTATGTCTGAATGGTTGCAAAACAGTCACGGCACTTTACGATTAGAGTAAACAAACAAGACTGAGGTGAACTTAAAAAAATAACTTGATAGACTAACAACTATAGGAGAAGAAGACAACTGGATGTTCTTTTATACTGAAGGCAGGTACTGAGTCAAAATTCTTTTGAGAATCATTCTTTTGTATTTCATCTGCAGTGCTCTTCTTGAGAGACAGATGTTCCCTTGAGCACCACAATGTTCTGGTGGGAGTCTAATCTCACTATTCATTTTGTCTTTTGCTCTACTTCTTGATCATCCAATGATAGCTGAAAATGAGTTAGTTTAAAAGACATTACAAGTGAGAGACAGAGTAATAGTGGATGATTCACAGCTCACAACAATGGTAAGAGAGATAGAGACAGAGATGAACAGAAAAGTAAAGCTACAGAAGATATCTTGTTTGTCCATACAATCAAATTCAAGAGGGTCCAAAATAACACTGGAACCCACAGACTATCATTGTATGGACAAAAACACATAGATACACAAGACATCTTCCTCACATAAAAGCTTTATATATGAGTTTAAGGCACACAAACACTCATTGTTTCTCTGACCTGCATTCCAGCAGTCTCCTGGAAGCAGCGTCCCAACTGGCTCTTGGATGTCACCGGCTGGTACTGGGGGTATGTTTGCTGGTTGGGGTAAATGACGCCGCTGTGAGTATGACCGTGTTGGATGCTCTGGCTGCTGCTGTGGTAGGTGAAGGAGTGGCTGGAGTGTGTGTTCTTCACCTGCCCATTACTGTCCACCGGAGACACCTGATGGATCTGGACAGAGGCTTCTGGGGGATGCTTCACATGGACATTCACCAAACCTACAGAAATGTAACTCTTTAAGGGGGATTCACTACAAGTTCATATGGTTTCAGTACAAAGTTAAGCGTAGTCAACAGAATTGGTGGTGTAATGTTAAATACCAGAAAAAAATAATTTTGATTCAGCCCTTCTCTAAAAAAGGAGCAAAAATTTAGATAACAGTGAGCCACGTACAAGTGAATGGGGACAATTTCTGGCAGACTTAAAAGCAGAAAAATGTGATAATTTTATAAAAGTACTTGCATTAATTATTCTGTTAAAAATTGTGCATGACTTGAGCTGTTTAAATAATTTCATTTTAGAGTTTTAGGGTTTATGGCATTGTGTTGTAATGGCAATGAAGTTGTAAAACTGAATATTATTTTACAATGAATCAGTTAGTAAGCAATTTTTCCACAATAAAATCATGCTAACACGTATTGTTTACATATTGTAGCTATACTGAGTTTTAAAATGTTTATGGATCAGCCCCATTGACTTCCATTATATGTGTCTCGCTGTAACCCAGGCTTTATTTATTTATTTATTTTAAGAAAACAAAGGACAAGTGAAAATTTATTTTTGTGGTAATTCTGAACCCTGGTTATTCCTTTAATAACAGCAAAGCCATGCATTTCTGAATAACAAGATTCAGCCAGATTTTCTACAGGTAAAAACAGAAATAAAAGTGTTACCCTGGTTTTGTCCAGTGCCGTAGGTGAGGGGTAATGTGTGCGTTGAGTGGACGTGTGTCTTCTGTCCGTTTACGACAGCATGTTGCCCCTGGTGACCGTTGGGATTCGCCATTTGGCAGAATTTTCCAGTAAAGTTAGGTAGGCACTGGCACTTGTCCCGAGCACTGCATTTTCCTCCATTCATGCAGGGCAAATGGCAAACAACTAAAACACACACACACAAGCAGAGCACAGTGTGGTTAATCACAGGCATATCGAGTGACATTTTTCAATGTTTAGTTTAGTGACAAATTCCTGTTCAGAGACCCATCACATTTAAGAGACTGACAAACATATACACAGATGAACCAACAAAATTATCAACAAACTTTAGTTTTGTCCTGTGTTTGAGCAAGTGTTTGCTTGTGGGCCATTGTGTGTGTGTGTATGTGCTTAAATGCTTCACAGAAAATCTGTTTAGGAACTTTTGTGGTGGCATGTAATGAGAGTTTTATGTGACACATTATGGTGAAGGACCATTCTGCCATGAAACATCTTAGACTTTCTCTCTGCCTTGCTCACTTTTAGACATTTTTCACACTGCTTAAAATCTCAGTTGAGCTTTTAGATCACATTCGGCTAAGTAATAATACTATCAAAATGCTAAATGGATTTAATTATCCCACAGCTGAGGTAAATAAACGTTTTGGAGCTTGATATTTTACGGAAATATGTTTGTGTTGTGGTATAGGACATTATTTCAAACATTTAAATGAGGTGAACTTTATTCTCCTGTTGTGATACTCTTTAAAAACATTCCCAAACCAAAAGCCACATAACATATTTAACCATCATGAACTCATCACACTAAATACTCATTAAAACAACACGGCTGTCCTAACCACCACTCCCACGCAGCACAACATGATGTCATTTCCTCTCAAACTGCATATACCTCCTGTGGCCAGACGCACAGTTCACTGACTGCAGATAACATAATTCAAGATTAAAGGCAGGATAGATGGCTTACTTGGCTATCTAAATGATGACATATCATAGTCTTCTATTATTTTTGTATACATTTTTCACACTTTTTTTTTGTTCATGAAGCATGATTTCATTCATTTTTCCAAATGAGGGCAACCCCAAATGTCCCCAAAGAGAGGTTTTGTCATATTTAACTCTCTTCCAGGGACAATATTTTGTCCCCAAAGTAGTTAAACAACCCCACATTCACACACAAATAAATACATATGTTTTCTCCCATACATTGGTGTATTTATATAAATATTTACATTCACTCTGACAAACCATGATTTATACACAACATGCACACACACTCTTTCATTATTTCTGCTCTAGTGGGAAATCTACGACTATTCCACAGTGCCTACAGTGAACCTCAGGCAATAACTTGACACACTCATGTATCAACATTGAATCACACACACACACACACACACACACTTCCCATCCTGCCCAACTAGTGAATTATACAGCACCACATTCTCTTGGACACCAGGAAATAGAGCAGTATGACAGTAAACAAATTAAATGTGGCAGAAATGGTAAGACAACTAGCAGGAGCAGAATGACAGACCACACAATTATTAACTTTCACTCTTTCACACATAAATGACTATAACGGTTTATTTAATAAAAGAGGTGTGTGTGTGTATATATATATATATATATATATACACACATATATA